GTGAAGTGATTCACAAACACAAACAGAATGAAACAGATCTTGCTTGATAAACTAGAAAGTCAGGCTGAAGTCAGACTGTCCAGCTGGTACTATATTTTATGAGTCAGAGTCCCAGGATAAGACATTTACACCAGATATTTAGCTGAGTAATATTCATGTTGCTAATCATCTCTGATTTCTCCGTTCTTTTAAATGTGTCCTGAAAATAATATGCTGTTTTGCTGGTATCCCTGTAGTTTCAAGAATAATATGCTGATGACTGGTGCTGTTTTAGGAAGAGTTGAAATAGAATAAGGAAAAATGACAAAAACACTTGCTAGGAATGTTGCAGATTTTCAGAAAATAGAGATATTAGTCATCACCAAGATTTTCTCCATCTACTTAAAAAGCCCTGTATAAATTATTTGTCTCTCTACCACACGATTCCCTACTAAATTTTTTTATAGTCTACAAGTCTGATGGATATTTCTATATAATTACTTTTTATTAATGATAGTAATAATAGTAGCTAGTGTCTCTGGCACCAGAAAACTCCCAAGTGTGGGATTCCCATCTGTAAGAAAATAAGATGTGTGAAGAAAACTCTCATTTTCCTGCTCAAAGTCTAGTCTAGATTTTAATTTTGTGTGCCAGACTATAACCACATAACCTCAGCGATAAAATCAGGCAGGAAACCTCTCCCTGATTTTTAGTGTTGCTGTAAGGGATGTTATTTTATGAATGTGCTGCTACTGCTTATTCTTGTTACTACCAATTACAATGTCCACTGCACAGGCTGACCTTGTGAGATATGGTTAAGGATTACTCAGAATTCTCACTGAATCTGAAAGACTTGATGGAACCATGATGGAATCAGAAAACAAAGTGCTAGAAGCCCCAAACATGGCATTCCTGTAGATAATTATAAACAAAAAAGACTAGAAGGTGCCTTCTAAGGCATTGAGCTGCCTACATTTGATTTAATGCAAGTATTTACAATAGTTATATTTTATGAGAGTTATTTAAATACAAAAGTAGATTACAAACAAAGGGATTTTTTAGATGGAGACCGAGAGCACAGAACCAGAAGGAAAATGGCCAACCCATATCAGAAGGGCATTGAGAAGGGGCATGGAAGGAGGAGACAGTGGGCTGTCATTTCCCTCCTATTTCTAACGTGCTTTTGTGTCCTTGATTTTTTCTCAGTTCCTCTTCAGCTGATCATCTACATTACCTTATTCTGTGAGCATCCAGCTGAGGCCAGAGCCATGACCAGCCCTTGGCAACCTGCTCTTGCCGAGGCAGCTCTAGACTGTGCTTAAAGTAAAAAACAAACAAACCTTTTCCCTCCTACAACCAAAGCAAAATACTGTTATTGTTGGCAGGCAATGAAAAAAATGCCTACTGATGCCAGTAGGATCAGGATTTTGTTTCAAGAGTTAAAGAAAAGTGTTAATTGAAGCATGTGAATGCCTGAGGCATAGTTCACTGCTCCAAGTGACAGCTCAAGCCATAACCATTGTTTCTTCTGCAGCCCCTCCATGAGCCTCCTCTCCCCTCTGCTGCTGCTCTGAGAACATGTGTGCACATCTGTGGCTTTCAAAAGGAACTTACTTTAAAATGTTTAGCCACACCAGTGTTTTTAGAAGATCCTTACTTCCTAATGTGGGATCTAGGCTGATGATGTCATACAAAGAGCTGAATTCACAGCAGCAAAGGTCAGATTAGGCTGATAGGGTCAATATTTGGACTTGAAATGCTTTTACCAGGTTGAATGTTAATTGAATTTCATTACATTATTTCAGTCTGCAAAAGAGTTCAATGAACTCGCAGTTCATTAACAGTTCAGAGTTGTCAGGGCCACTTGCCTTGAGTTCAGTTAAAATGACACACAATTGCAAGATGTTTAGTTATGTGACCAGGTGATACATTTTGCACTGTTTCTTGTGCAACATTCGCTGTTTAGGGACAAGAGGCCGAGCAGGCAGGCTCAAGGCTGCAGGGACTGCTTCCAGATGTCTTCCTGCTGCTACAGGGTTTGTTGTGAATCACAGAATGGTATCCACACACTCTTAGTTTTAGCTTTCAGGACAGAAATACCCAAAGTGGCCCCTCTATCTTGCTTTCAGGTCAAAAACTAGAATTTTTGCAAGTGAGGTGCATGGCTTCATTTGGGGTTGGCAGTAAAACCTGTGAATTTCTGTCGTGGTGTGTACCAGTTTCTTGTGTAAGTTTCAGCTGGAAACAGCATTTGGCATGAAAGCTAATGGATTTGATTGCAGGAGAACTGAAACCCTAGTGCAAGCTAAGTGGATCCCATCCTTGACCAAAACTGCCAAGTTTTCCTACCTTTAACCCCAGCATAACCTGCAAGTGTCCCTGAATGCTGTCTCTCCATCCTGTAAATGAGAAAGAGCCAGACATGACCTTTCTCATTTAAAGTATACGTAAATCTGGGATACACAGCACATACACAATTGCAGGGCACAACCTGACAGGTGATCAAAACCACCTCAAACGATGTTGTTTATCACAGAAGACACACTGTAACATCTGTGAGCATACTCTGAGCTGTGTATGTTCACAGTCTCAGGAGCTGGCACTAAAGATGACAAAACCCAGCACATAACTCTGTAGCAAAAATAAGGGGTGAGGCCCTGTGAGGGGAGGGCAAGGTCATTTCTGTAAGTGTGCAACTGCATTCTCCATGTATTGGCTGTAGTGTTACAGGTGCAGCTGAACAGAAAAGCTCACATCAGTTAGATGAGCAAACTGCAGGTGAGCAGGCAGTGCAAAGGGGATTTGAGAAGAAGGATGTGTAGCCAGCTACACTGGATGCTTGGTCTTCAAAATCTTGGGAGAAGGCAGCATTGTGTTTGAGTTATGGTGCAAAGCTTCTGAATCAAAAGGCTCAGGTAGAGATCCTGGTAAAGAGGACCTGCTTGTGCAGGGAAAATATTCAAGATGCCCCATCCTTCAGGGGATTATTACTCCTTCCAGGATCACCTGCTCAGATGGATGGACAGGAAGATTGGCTGTGGCTTTTCCTCTCACTGTGGCCTTCTCTTAGAGTATCTAAAATGTGAAGAGCCTGTGGTGTGTTGGAAGTGTTGTGCCTGGTGTGGTGAAAGAAATGGGAGATGCCTTAATTCTGTGCTGTGCTACCTTATAAACTGATAGGGCTTGCCAAGTCAGATTCCACTAGCTCAGTTCCTTGTTTCTAATCTTCAAGTGCATTGTTACAAATTTTAAAGCAAAAATTTAAGATTCTACTGCAGCAATGGGGTAAAATTTGTGAATGATTGGATCACTAATTATATGCAGAATCCGCTCTTCTTATTTTCCCCCCTCCCTCTTCTCCTTGTATTCTTCATTCCAGATCCACAAATAGTTTATTAGTGATCCATACTAGTCCAAGTGGGGGCAGAGATTAGAGGACATGTATGGATAGTGAACAAGCAGGGGACTGTTGACAACCTTTCCCTGGATTTTTTTTTTTTAATTAACCTGTTTTCTTGCATGCACAGTTTGGTGCCCAGATGCATGATGTTGGACATACAAAAACCTTGTTTTATACTGCAGTAACTGTTTCAGGGTTTTTTCCTGAAAACATTGGTGTATGTCCAGTTCATCTTAATGGGTGATCAATGTGCAGGTACTGAAGATGTATGCTTTCATATTTGGATAATTGTACCAATGTAAATCTTCTAAGTGCTGTTGAACTTAGAGGCTACCACATGAGGCTTTAGAGGATCATGAGCCAGACTGGAGAGCTCTCATCATATAAGTTCCATTAACACCTTGTTGCTTGTGGCTACCATCAGTCATTGTTTGTATGGGAGGCAAGAGAATGTACTGTTGTAGGGAGACACAGACACAACCAAAGAATACAATAGTCCCAAATAAAAGTAGAATGATTTAAAGGTAAATAAATTTCACTTATTATTATGGAAACTTTCTATCTTCAGAGACACATTAACTCAGAGATACTAGATAGCAGTGCTCAGGGAGGGCTGAGTGATGTGCCTGCGGTATTAAGAGGCCTCCTGTGGTAAATGCCCTTGGTCTGCACAAGAAAACAAGGTGGCCAGGATAGCTCCATTTTTCTACTTTGAGGCCTTTTTAAAATTTTACTCTGCCCAAATTTAGAGCCTGATAGGAACCTCTCAAGTGGGAAAAGTGCAGAATCTCAAAACAGAAGCGTAAGAGTTTTTCTTGGGTATAAAATTTCAGTCAATAATGTGCTGTTGCCTTATTGACATGAAAAGAATGCCTTTCATGTGATACAAACATTTACTTGCTCCTGCTTACTCTACTCACCTTGTACAGAAATGCTGATTGCCATTGACTAATCAGTCCATTTTTGTATATTCTCATCAGACTCTTTCTTTGGCTGGAACAATATGCACTGTATGATGCTTGCATGTATAACAATTTGTTATTAGCACTTTGTATATGCCTTTGTTACTTCACAACTAACAGTTTGGCCTCCAAATGCATGCATTTGTGTAAATTAATGTTACAAAAATAATAGCTTTATTTGCTATGTTTGTATCGATTTAGGAGATGTGTAAGATATGCATAAAGACAGATAATTGCCATTTAGTCACTGGGAGAAGACATTTGTTCAGCTTGTATTTATACAACTACTGGTTCTATTTAGGCTTTATAATGCCATGTTTATCTTTTAGTTCTGTATTTATTCAAGTGCAGATTTTGTTTTTAATAATTTTATAATGATTAATTACAGTATCATATAAAACAGTTTAAGAAATAATTTTTGTTATACAATTATAAGAAGTAGCAAATTTTTTTCTTCCAGTGTTCCTGAAATCTCTAAATACCTTTATTTATATAACAAAATTATAAGACTACTGATCAAGCAATTTTATCCCCCTGATATTGAGCTAATAATAACCTATATACTTGGCTCTGAACCAAGCTTCAGAGTAATGGCAGTTGCTGTTGCAGTGCTAGAATGCAAAGACATCACATTTATTTTGTGTGTTTCAACATCTCAGGACACTGTCTCCTGCAAAGTCTCCGTCTTCATCCACTGGATCTATTGCTTCCAGCAGAAAATACCCTTACCCGATGCCACCGCTTCCTGATGAAGAGAAAAAAGTCAACAGGCAAAGTGCCAGGGTATGTGTCCCTCTTCTGTGCATTTCACCAGTGACTTGATTTACCGGTCGTTTTCAAAAGGAAACTGTGGCAGATTAACACCTTTGACAAACAAGGAGAGCTGGAGTGGCATTTTCTTTGCACCCCGAAGTTCTGAAGCTGCTGAGCCTCTGGCAGCGATGAAGGCCTCCACAGCTGTGTTTACAGGCAGCTTTTTCAGGTTTCTCTTAAAGCTGCCCTGAAGCCCAGATTTCACTGCTTTTCTTATTCCAAGCTGAAAATGTGCCCTGAACTGCCTTTGTGCAGCCCTGGAGCAAGTGGTGTGTTTGGCTCTCCTTTCTTACCTCTTCTCCCAGCAGCTCTAATTCAGGCTGAGGGGATAGCTGCTTACCAGCTTTATGGAAATGTAAAAAGTTCCTCACATGGAGCATGTGGAGGGCTTGCAGGCCTGGAGGGACTTCACTGCTGTATGACCTGAGCCCACCCTGGCCCCCCTAGAGTGACCAGGAGCTGCTGGAACGTGTGGTGGAGAGTAATGCCCCACATGGAGAGATTTCCAGGTGCTCCAAAAGGCTTTTGTTTCCTTTATGTAAATTCAGACATAGCAGGTATTTGAATAAGCAAAAAAGTCCTGAAATTTGCTCTAGGAGCTTTACTTGCAATACCCTTGGTTCATGTTGCTGATGAGATTCTCATCACTGTTCTCTGCCTTTTTTTTCCCAAGAAAAAAGGAATGGAGGCAGGAACCTGCAAGCTGCTCCCCCAGTGCTGCTTGGGGCAGAAGATTGTGTGAGGTGCAGCACAGGGTCTCCCAAGGCAGCTCGGAGCCTGGGCTATTCTGATGTGTCTGAGCCCTGGAGCTGCTTTGGCAGCAGCTCAAACCCACAGCAGGAAGTCATGTTGCTCTGAGCAGAGTTAGGCAGATGAAAATGGGAAGTTATCTCTACACTAATAGCAGCATAACTCCAAAGTAAAAGCTGTCTAGTACAAGTTTGATGCTACACTGACATTTCTCCTTCAAACAGAAGTGAACTCCCAGCCATGGGTATTTACTATGCTGACTGCAAGTAATGTTGAAATGCTTGAGACTGTCTGCTCACTTGGTGAACAGATACCCACCAGAGGCTGGGAGGAGATTTGGTGACCCAAGTGATGTAGATGCAGTTCCCTAAACAAGCTCCTTGCACTTTTTGGGTGACAACCTGTTTTATCTTGGTGTACAATGTATGTTTGTGTTCATTTTCCTCCTTTCCAGCTATGGGAGACATCCATCTAGCTGCACTGTTTTCCTGGGGTCACATCAGAACTGTTTACTTTGGATTTTATAGAAACTCAGCATCACTGAGTCACTGCACATTCATCTGCTCTTCAGACAATTCGAAAGATCAACAGAGATACCCATGATATCACAGTGATAACCTCCTCTCATGTGGAAAGGAAAAAAACCAGTCTTTTTTTTTTTTCTTTCTTTTTTGTTGACTTGTATTCTGTGGATTTGATGGACAACCAAAATCATAACATTTGACAGAGAATAATTAGCCCAGATGTGACAAGGCTGTTCCGCATGGTGACCTAGAATCCCAACTGCAGTCCATTTGCCAGTCCTGTGTAAGAGAGGTTTTTCCTCTGGTTTATTGCAGTCCTGAGTCAGACCAGAGTGGAACTGGGAACGTGCCTCACGGAGAGCCCAGCTGATGTAAACTTGTATGCTGTATGCATGAACCTTGTGTTCTTTACTTTCCACATGTAAGGGAAAAACAACATACTGTAGTAGAGATTAGCATGCAGGAGTAAGAAATATAGGATTTTTTTTTTGTGACAGGATTTCAAGCTTTGAAAGGCAACTATTTGACACCAACAGCAAACAAACAAAGATTATATCTTTTTTTTTTTACCTTACATGTTTATAATCTCAGTATACAGATTGTATATATGTAAACATTCAATAATGTCAAAAATAGCTGTTATACGTATGTGTATTTTGCCAAATGCCTAAAGAAACAGTCATGACTAACATCATCACACTTCAGATTTTATAATATTATGAGCAGACATCCTTGGAAATACAGAAAGTACAGTACTGTAAAACTGTGTCTCTCAGAAACTGGTGTTTGACCAAAATCTATACAACTTTTTCAGCATCTTACACTGTCTTGACAATCTCAATTGTACAGTAGACTGCAGAAACCGGTACAGCAGCACTTTGTCTTAAATCATCATAAGAGGAACCAGCCAAAATCCCTTGTTTAGTAAGATAACCATTGTATCCTCTCACAGGTGTAATCAAGGATGATTCAGCAGACAACAGTCTAAGTCATGTGCAGCCCAAACTTACTGGACATTTGGGAATACTTCTAAGTAGTCAATTCAGGATGTGGTGATGTGAAGTCTGTCTGTGAGAGTTGCTGTGTATTTTTGATAGAGCATTTCAGACACTGTTTTAGATGGCAAGGCATAGGCTTATGAGAAGCATAACGATTTCACTGCACTAGATAATAACAGTGCTGGGCAAGTGGCCAGTTTCATTGCTGTCTTTCAATTTTTATTTGTTATTGGAATCGCCTTTACCATGCGCTTGAATGCTATGCTTGCTGCCCCTGAAGCCCCCTTGACAATTTTTTGGGGCATTAAACTGAGCACAAGTGAATTTAGCTTAAAAGAACGGGGTGGGGGGGAACAACTCTTTACCATGTTAATCTTGTAAGTTGATGGCAATATTTCTAACACCTGAAACTTCTAAAGATTGTTGTAAAGCAAATGCCTTCTGATTGGGAATTTTGCAGTTAGTAAGAAACTGGACCATATTAAATCAGTTTATAATTCTCTTGTTTTCCAAAAATGACTACATCTTAGCTTCAGGTAGTACCACTGCAGAATAAAACACCCGACTGTGTGGTGCAGTTGAATACCCTACCAAACAGCTGTATGATTAATTAGATATTATTGTAATAGGAACATCTATGGTGTTTCTGAATCTTCTACCTCTTTCATGTATTTCCTTTAGTAAGTGAACCCAACACTTGCAGCCTTTTAATGTATTTTTTTAACTTTTACGTCTCTCAATAAAGTCAGATATATGTAAGATTAAATTAAGAAATGTTTAAAGATGTTGGCAGCTGTAAAATATGTAAGATTTTTAGAAGCACTATATTTTATGATTAGGCTGTATGTTGGATAATGACAAAATATTGGCCTTGGCATTCAAATTATTTTCCTTCACAGTCAACAGGTTCTGGTAAGTATTTGGAAAAAGACAAATATATGTGAGCACAAGTGGGTGCAGACTGACCATCTGGAGGAGACAGTCACTTGTAACTGCTTTAGGGAAAGATTCGGCATATTTGTGAAAGGTAAATATATCAATCAGCACTGAAGAATATTTTTTGCAATGATTTACTTTGAGTGTAGCTATCTGGATTAAAGATAGTTGACAGCACGTAGCTTATGAAATTAGGGTCTGAGCCATGACTTGAAATCAATATGTCTTTTGTTGATTTCACTGGACTTTGAGCAGGACCCTCAAGAGACTCACCCACATTAGGACATTATGATAACCTGATCGTCGCTGTATGGCTCTGTCGCCTGGAAGCTGGTTTTCCCTGCCATATTCATATCTTGTCTTTAGTAACTGGACTGTTCATCATGTGCCTTTTATGGTATTTTTTTGGATGTAAACTGGCATGTAGCTTTGAATAACCCCATTAGATTTCTGTGCATATCTTATGTTTACCACTATTTACTCTTCCCTTTCCATTTTGCCTTACCAAGAAGAAGCAAGATTTGGCAGACAGAACTGGATATTACATACTGGCTCTTTCTGCTATGCTCATAGCTTCTTGTTTTGCAAACAAATGGCCCTCCTTATTATGTTTTCAATGTAGTACGTACTTCCAGCTTCTTTTGTTTTGGTATAATTAATTTGTAGCATATGATGATACAATTATGTGTGTAGTGTACCTTTGTCACCTTCACATTTGGAGATATGTAGTGACTGGAAGTCTAGTTCTGAGCACTAAGTTTAAGTTAAATAAATACTGACTTTCACTTTGGTGGTCTAGAGTGAGAGTATCACAGGACTTATGTTTTTGCAAAATTCTTCTGCAGAGAACTTTGCAACAGTTGATAACTTGGGAGATCTGAGCTGGCAGGGCTGTGTGAGCCTCCCAAGCCAGTGGAGGTTGGACAGAGGAGTTGTTTGCTTACAAGCTGTCATTTCCTACTTTTAAAATGTAGTGTGTTGGAAAGCTACCAGATTAATGACCTTGAAGATTGCAAATATTTTTATCCACTGTAATTAGTTACTCTGGCAATAGCAATATAAGCTGGCGTGTAATACCTCATCCAGACTAAAATAGAGTACTTGTCACTAATATAGCTCAGTCATTTTGACTCATTGAGATTTATCTTTTTAATTTGTTTTTATTTTAATAAATGAACTAGTTATTGCCAACTATGCTGTAGATGCCTGTTGAAGTGAGGAAGCTATCAGTTCTCAACTAGAAGTAATTGTTTATATGAGTATAGGACCAGCAGGATGAGATATACTTAAGTTATGTATTTCATTGTGGGAGAAGAATCTTGTGTAATTTATAATAAAATTAATATGACTAACTGATGGAGACTGGAAAATGGAGATTGTATCTAAAAATAATGCTGCACAATGATGCCACAGTGTAGTAAAGTAAAGATTTACCTACTAATTCTGGATTTGTAGACTATGAACTTTAGTAATCTCAGGCAGTATACCAGAGATGGTTGAGGCAGTATACCAGAGATGGTTGTGACTGATAATTACATATAGTTTTGCTATCTTTAAGGAAGTAGATTCAAGAAGACTGTTAATTTTACACAGTCTATCTTTGCTTAAATTGTGAACTAAGGTCACAACTTGCCAGCCACCTGAAGTGTGACTTGACTTTGAAGATGGCTGCTTTAAAATTATTTAAGAGCTCCTGATTTATGAGATGTTGAACCTGCTGAGCTCATGTGCTCATGAAATAATTTTGATTGTGCTATGAACAAATGGACCTTTGAGGTATAGTCTGAATTAAAATCAGAAAAAAATTGTGTCAATAGTTAGTGTACTGAAATCCTCTTACTCAAATCCCTATTGTTGGTTTGGACTGATTGGTCTTGTCAATACTAATGCGACAACTCTTTTCAAAACCAAAGCTAAGAATGGCTATGTACACTATTATAGACAGGCATATACTAAAAATTCTGACCAAATTTGCTGTAACTTCATTACTGAATTGATTAATGGATAGAATGTAATGTCAAAGAAGGATGAGACTCCATAATCCTAGAGAATATTCTCTTCAGTTAGCCCTTAGGACTTGCTCTGTCATTGAATCCCATACCTAGTTGTAAGCAAAGTTATCACACTCCACTGTAAAACTCAGCCAGCTCCTGTTCTCTTCCATCCCCTTTCCACTCCTACCGAAAAACATTTTCATGAAACAGTCATCCACCAAGAGCCTCTACGAGTTTGCTGACATCAGAAAGCTGCTAAGTTGGTCACCTTTCCACACTATGGATAGGGTCTTTCCAATGCTGTTAATAATAGTAGGTTTAGATGAGGTGTTAGGAAGAAATTTTTTTCTGTGAGGATGGTGAGGCACTGGAACAGGTTGCCCAGAGAAGCTGTGGATGCCCAATCCCTGGAAGTGTTCAAGGCCAGCTTGGATGGGGCTCTGAACCACCTGATCTAGTGGAAAGTCCTGCCCATGGCAAGGAGGTTGGAACGAGATGATCTTTATGGTCCCTTCCAACCCAGACCATTTCATGATCCTGTGATCTTTTGCTTCTGCTATAATCAGGCAATGATGCCTCATGTCTTGTGGATTTTCCACTGGTTTTGTTGGGGATGAGTTAATTTTCTTCACAGTAGCTGGTATGAGGCTGTGGTTTGGATTTGTGCTGAAAACAGTGTTGATAATGCAGGGAATTTTTTAGTTATTGCTGAGCAGTGCTTGCAATGAGCCAAAGCCTTTTCTGCTCCTCACATGCCCCACCAGCAATTGGGCTTGGAGTGCACAAGGAGCTGGGAGGGGACACAGCCAGGAAAGCAGACCCAAGGGATATCCTAAACCATATGATGCCATGCTCAGCAACAATCCAGGGGGAAGGTTGGCAGTGAAGAACTGCAGCCCAGGGACTGGCTGAGCATGGGTCTGTTGAGGTTGAACAATTGTTTTCGTTTGCATCCCTTGCCTTTTTTGGGTTTTATTTATCTCTCTGTTAATTGTCTTTTCATTAATTAAAAAAATATTAGTAAAATTATTTAATTTTTATTACTGACCTGTTCTTATGTCAACTAATGAGTTTTCTCACTTTTACCTTTCCAATTCTCTTGCCCCATCCCACTGGGGGTGGAGACTGAGGAAGCAGCTGTTTTGGGGCTTGTGTTTAAACCAGAACATTACTGGCAAAACCCCTTGGTGACTCAGCCATCCTGTGTCCTTCTCACCTTGTAGCATTTGTGAAGGCTAACCCTCTTTAATCACCAAGTCTGTGAACCTAACAGTTGAGCTGTTTCCTGTTTCTCTTGCTACAAGTCTGAAGATCATCTGTTTCTTTCTCTAAACTGACTATCACTGTCATGGGATAACAGTGGACTGTTTGGGCTACTGTTTTCAACCACAATATGATGTTATTTTCCTCATTTTTAAAGAGCTTGAGCATTTCAGTCTCCACTGAATACCAAGAATGGATGAGCTGATGACCCACTGTTTGCATGGCTTCCAAATCATACGACATTTATCAGCAATATGGGATTTGACTTTGATCACATTTGATGTGCTCAGTTGGTCAGAGCTCGGTGTTAATAACTCCAGGGTCAAGGGTTCAATCCCTGTATGGGCCATTCACTTCAGAGTTGGACTTGATCATCCTTGTGGGTCCCTTCTCCAGAATATTCTGTGATTCCTGAAGACAAATTTGAATAAACTGCAAAAATATATGCAGGTTGTGATCCCATGGCTGCACAGTGGAGTGAGGTTCCTGTGTGCACACACCAATTATCCTAATAAAGCAAGAACAAATAAAACAGTGAAACTAATTGTGTAAACACAGCTGCAATACAGACAGGACTCTCTTAAGTGTGATTTTGTCAGAAACAGGAAAGGAAGTAATAGTTTTTATCATCTATGCTAAAAATCTCCTCTGACATGAGTATTTTCTCAGCTGATGAAAACCATTTGTGGTGTCTCAAGTATGGATGCTGATATAAACTTCAGCTTAGGAAACAGCATCTTGAACCTGGCACATGGTATCTTGCCATTCCACAACAGTTTTCTGCAAGTATTTGGAGAAAAGCACTACAACAGTCAACATCCATATATTATCTTAGCCAAGTAAGAAAAACAAACAGCAAAAATAAGTTCAGAATACAGATACGCTCACACTTGAGACACTGTACCTGGCTTCAAAATTGGCTCACCTAGCCAGGTCTTTCAGTTTTAGCTCTTTAAAATCCAATCTATACCAGTTTCAAAATGACTTCAGCTAAACCAGTTTTAAATTGTTTAAAAACTTCTGCTACTTAAGATAGGCCATAATTGCCATATAACTCAGAATGAGGAAAATTTGGGAAAATAAGCACAGAGCAGTTAAAAAAACCCATGTTCTCTAAGGGAGAAGCAAAGATATCAACACAATTTTAATTGCTAGAGCATAAAATGTCAAAGCAACAAACTTTTATTTTTCTGTTTCTGTATTCCTCTGAATAAAAAAATAAAGCTTTTGTTTAAAAAAAATCAACATGAGGCCTTAAGACCTTATATATTCTAACTTTAGCATGGAGAGTCTATTTTTACAACCATGTTAGAAATTCTGTATATAGGCCTGACTGACCTTGTAAGTAGAGTGGTGCAAGCAGCTAATCATGCAATATTGTAAGGCTCTGTAGAACAGCAAATGCTGATTTAGTTTGATTATTGGTACAAGAACTCCTGCTCACTGCCTGTGTAGACTGCATACTTTACACTTGGAAATACAGTCCAGAACATACTCAAACTGTGAATATATAACCTGATTTTCTTTACTTAAGGATAAAAATATATTACAATAGGTAATGTTTTATATAGAATACAGTACTTATTTTTATTGTTGCATAAATGCAAAGTATTTTTTTCAGAATAGCAAAGCATTACAGAATTTTTAATCTGCTGGAGAAAACACTATTTACTGTATGACCAGTTCTTTCAGCAAAGCTTTTGGGGTGGTATATACCAACTGGCTCTGCCAGCTTCATTTTGTGCTGATGTTTAACTTGGGCATTGCTGTAAAAAAAAAAAAGCTATTTTTTCACTCATACTAGCCATTATTGAGAGAGGCAAGGAGAATCGTGTTTCACCACTGTGGCTGGGCTAGTATTGGCAAAAACAATGATTTGCATCATATCATTGTCTTTGCTAGTTAAAATCCTTTAAAAATCATACCTGATGTAATAAAACCGTAAGATTTTGACAAACATCAAAATGAAGCATTGCAGTTTACAACTTTCTAGCTTTGAGTGTAATATTTTTGTCATAAACATTACAGGCATTGGGCTGTTGAATGAATCTGGCTTTCATGTAGCTAAACAAAACGTTGCTTTTTATAAAATCAAATTGTTGTAATTTGGGGTTCTAAATTCCTGCTCACTTTTAATAATAACAGCATCACAGTATCCACTTCTACAAGAGTATTTAATACAAATGCCTGTGGTTTTCAATGTTACTAACATATTGTAACATCAGTAAAGTGACTTTCAATGATAAAGACTGTTGTGTGTATTTTGTTCTTCTAAGTCATTGTATTTAGCACTTTCTGTTTTATAGGTCTCTATAAAATAAATATGTTGCATTCATGGGAAAAGAAAAGGCTAGTAGTAGAATGTAGATGTTATTTTTCAAATTCCAAGGATGAAATGACCCAGTGAATTTCTCAAATCTCTGTCTTAGGGTTCAAATCTTACTGTTCGCAAAGCAAATCTAAAATTGCTATTCCATA